CGCAGCAGCTCCTTTGGGAAGATGGACGGACACCTAGACCGTAGAGGATTGGGTACTGACTGCAGGGAGGATTTCAGCAACGGGTCTTCCACCAATGATGCCTTAAACAGCATTGACCCTTGCAAATTAGTTGGGTCAAACAGTACCACGACCATCGGGGTCACCAACGGAGCTCCAGTGTATCCCGGTCAGCTCTTCCCATCTCATCCACGGAAAAAGGGCACTACATCGGGTGGTGGAGGGAAGCTTGCCACGACTCCACCTCCAGAGGAGGACTCCATGTCAAACTCCAAACGCTTCCTACGATCTTCTTCTTCCTCCAGCATGCCTCCAGGCTCTGATCGCTTCGAATGGAAGTCCGTAACCCTGCCGCGGGACATTCAGTCAACACACTTTGATTCTAACACATTCAGAGGCAAGCCAGCTTTACCTCGTAAGAGCTGCATGCCACGAGGTGGCACGCTTACCCCACCACCACGCCTTCCCAAGAAAAGTGAAGATGTTTCAGACGAAGTCTTCAAGGACTCTGAGTCTAGTCCTGGATCAAGTCCTTTAACTCTGACTCCCAAGCTAGGCCGCCGACCCCAAACAGAAAGCTCCAAAACTAGTGCCTTACAAACAGAGGTATTAAAACCCAATGTGCTTCCACCTCTTGGAGACGAAGGCAGACCTCGAAGACTCAAACTGTCCTCTGAAATCCCAGGACAGAGAGAGCGGGAGAAGGGGAAGTTTGCGAAACCCAAACCCGCTCCCCCTCCTCCTCCGGTGTCCAGTGCCAAATCTGGAAAGACCTCAAGGAGTCCGACTTTTGAGGTGTCTTCAGATACCAAAGTCAAGAGTTCACTAGACTCCGCAGATCAAGGCAAGGCTAGTCTATCCCAAGAAAGTGCTAAAAAGTTGCCCAAAAATGGCTCAAAGGTAAACCCCTCGAAGGCAGGTGCGACTGCTCCTCTACCTGGAATGGGAGCCAGTCCTGTGGTCGGGGATCCGGGATCCAGCTTCATCCCACTGATGACGACGCGACGTTCACTGAGGAAGGCTCCAGCACGGCAGCCATCAGAGCGACTCTCCAGCTCCACCATCACTCGAGACATGCTGTTGGAGAGCTCTGAGCTCCTGCGTACCGCCATTGCACGTGTCTCCGAGCAGACCGGCAGCCACAGCGCTGTCCTGGAGGCGGGGAAAAATCTGTCCAAGTACTGCGTCAGCTACGTGGAGTCCATCCAGCAGATGCGGAACAAGTTTGCTTTCCGCGAAGCCATCAATAAGCTGGAGAGCAGCCTGCGCGAGCTGCAGATCTGCCCCGCGGCCACCGGCACCGCAAACACTCCGCAGGACTTCTCAAAGCTGCTGTGCTCCGTCAAGGAGATCAGCGACATCGTGCAGAGGTAGCAGAGAACGGCGCCACTGGAAACACAGTATCTCGATGTCTGGGGCCATGTCTTACATTTCAGTTCAACACACCTCAGCTTATCTCATGCCAAATAGAGGAACGTTTGTTCAGTGTCTTATTACTGTGTGCACAAAAGGGGGAACGTTTGATGCAGAGCTGTGCTGAAGAGTAGGTCAAGAAATCAACTCTGCCACTTTCAAAATGCATTGCTATTCTCTCTGGAATCTATTCTGAGATTAGTTTTTAACAGCAGTCGGCGCTCTAGGCTATTGTTTAACAGCAGACGGCACTTTAGGCTAGTCTTTAGCAGCAAACGCTAAACCCACAATGGATCTTCCTCATGAGCATTTTTTGTATAGTTAAAAACTAGCCTAAAGCCCCATCTGCTGTTAAACACTAGCATAGAGCGCTGTCTACTGTTTGTATCTTGCTTAGAGTGCCATCTGCTATTTAAAACTAGCCTAGAGCACCATTTGCCGTTTCACACAAGCGTAGAGCGCCGTCTGCCATTAGACACTAACCTAGAGTGCCGTCTGCAGGTAAACACTAGCCTAGAGTGCCATTTGCTGTTAAAACAAGCCTAGACCGCCCTCTGCTGTTAAAAACTAGTCTTGAGCGCCACCTGCTGTTAAAAAAATAGCCTAGAGCGCCATCTGCTGTTAAACTAGCCTGAAGCACCATTTGCGGTTTCAAATGAGCGTAGAATGCCTTCTGCCATTAAACACTAACCTAGAGCGCAGTCTGCAGGTAAACACTAGCATAGAGCGTCATCTGTTGTTTAAACAAGCCTAGAGTGCCATCTGCCTTTTAAGCACTAGCCTAGAGCGCCATCTGCAGGTAAACACTAGTCTAGAGCGCCATCTGCAGGTAAACACCAGCCTAGAGCATCATCTGTTGTTAAAACAAGCCTAGAGTGCCATCTGCCTTTTAAGCACTAGCCTAGAGCGCCATCTGCAGGTAAACACTAGTCTAGAGCATCATCTGTTGCTAAAGCAAGCCTAGAACGCCCTCTGCTGTTAAAAAAACTAACCTAGAGTACCAACCGTTGTTAAAAAACTAGTCTAGAGTGTCACCTGCTGTTTATATCCAGCATAGAGCGCTGTCTGCTGTTTAAAACTAGTCTAGAGCACCATCTGATTTTTATGTCTAGCCTTGAGCGCCATCTGCTGTTAAAAACTAGCATGGAGCGCTGTCTGCTGTTTATATGTAGCCTAGAGCGCCATCTGCTATTTAAAACTAGCCTAAAGCACCATTTGCCGTTTTACACTAGCATAGAGCGCCGTCTGCCATTAAACACTAACCTAGAGCGCCGTCTGCTGTTAAACACTAGCCTAGAGAGACATCTGCAGGTAAACACTAGCCTAGAGCGTCATCTGCAGGTAAACACTAGTCTAGAGCGTCATCTGTTGTTAAAACAAGCGTAGAGCGCCCTCTGCTGTTTAAACACAAGCCTAGAGCGCCATCTTCTGTTAAAAATTAAGCTCAGAATTTATTTAAATGAGAATATTGCATCTTGATCAACTCTGAATCAATGCGCAATCGATTTCTCGAACATTTCCTCGCCACAGCTCTACTTCGATGTTCCTCTATCATCCATTCGGCGACCCTAAAGGAACTCCAGGTCGAAGTCTTCGTGACGTGATCCTTCCTGACTGTCCTCTGCATTTTCTCAACGAAAAAGGCCTGATCTCAGCGATGCAGACGATTGAAAGTGAATCACCTCGCGTGCCTCGTAATTATGGAACCAGAATCTATTTTGATCACAGAATGAAACTGATGTAGTATTTTTGCGATGTGGTTTTTGGTGTAGGGTGTTATGGTGAGATTGTGAACGCTCCCTGTGATGTGAGGAACTGCTTTAAGTATTGCAACACTGTGCCACGAACGACATTTCACGGACAATTCAGTTTTATTGCGCGGTTTGTGTTCCTACACAGCTTTCGGCAATGCCTTAGAGACACAAATCATCGATCGGCGATTAAAAAACACTACTGTCTCAAGGAGAAAGACTTGGAGGTGTGAAACCTGAGCTTAAGAAGCCGTATATGTATAGATGTTTTTATTTTAACGTTGATTTCAGACTGACGGAGGAGCTTTAATGACCACACTATTCTGTCTTAACCAGTCTTTTCTCGTTGTTTTGCTCGTTTAGTTAAAATAATGCCCTTGTTTTCAGTATTAGTTTGTATTTTCCAACACTTTGCCGTCAGACTGCGATGCCTGAGGAGGACCACACGCTGCCTTGATTTCAACACGCCACCAGTGTTGCTGACGTTTTTATATCTTGTCCTTTAGAGATCATGCCACTACTTTTACATTTGTATTCAAGCCTCACTTTTTTTAATGCTCGTTTCTGTAAATACACACTTGTTTTCTCCTATCGGTTGATTCTTCTTGTAACCCTGGTGCAATGTGTGTTGCATACAATACAGTTTTGCTACTTGAACGACATCAGGGGTTTGTGTTTATTAGAGTTTAGTGTGTTTCTGCATGCAGAGAGCTGACAAATATGCTGTTTATAAATACACACTAACTGGCCACTTTATTAGGTACACCTTACCAGTATTGATTTGGACCCCTTTTGCCTTCAGAACTGCCTTAATCCTTCATGGCAGATTTTGCTCCAAATTGACATGATAGCATCACACAGTTGCTGCAGATTTGTCGGCTGCACATCCATGATGCCAATCTCCCGTTCCACCACATCCCAAAGCTGCTCTATTGGATTGAGCTCTGGTGACTGTGGAGGCCATTTGAGTACAGTGAACTCATCGTCATGTTCAGCAGTCTGAGATGATTGAGCTTTATGACATGCTGCGTTATCCTGCTGGAAGTAGCCATCAGAAGATGGAGACACTGTGCTCATAAAGGGATGGACATGGTCAGCAGCAATACTCAGGTAGGCTGTGGCGTTGACATTATGCAGGTGTACCTAATAAAATGGCCGGTTATTGTATATAAAATACCATTGTGAAAAAATAAATATATTTAGCTCCATGACAACAGAAATGTTTAACAATTTACTGCATTTTAAACATTGATAATACTAATATTAAATTTCATCATGCACGACAGTGAAAATGCAACACCAGAAACACAAACATGCAGAGCATTTTTTTTTTTATTGTCGTCATTAAAATCAAAAAGTCAACATTTTAAAATCATATACACACGAGAACAGTTCAAACGTTAGCACAGCTCCTCCAGTCTATACATATGTACTGTTTATACTGGTGTGTGAAGAGAGAAGCATGAGCGCCGTCCTCTAAACCAGTGTGTGTGTGATGTAGTGTCCTCTTCTGTGCTGTCCGTCACATCACCAACACACAGAGCTTTATGTACAGCAGTGTAATCAGATCTCATATGGTACATACACTGAATTAAGACACAGATGCTGCTTCAGAAGCTGTTAATATACAAGCCCATGTTTACTGTACACAACCAGCGCGTTTCAGAGATCTATACATTTCAGAATCAGAATAATGATGGGGCAGTGGTGTGAAACTCAGGTCTGGTGAGGTGATGGCAATGATATTAACATGAATGATAACAGTAAGGCAATGTAAAGTGATGGAAGTAAAAACAAGCGTTTGGATATGAGGAAAGAGTCTATAAAGTGATCTTATTCTTTTCATTAAGCTGTTCACACCACAAGAAAATTGGGATCAATGCATTTGCGAATGCATATTAAAATTATAATTACAATGTAAATAATTGAAATATTAATCTGCACCCTGTCTCATTACAGGAGCTTCAACACGTCAAAGCAAATGCATTCGACATTCGTAATATTGTAACGCAATATTACAGTGCCAATATTAGGATATATTCAATTCCACGTCTTGTTTATTTCTGCCAAATCGGATGTCTTATTGATATAAAAAGTCTCATTAAGCTATAAAATATACTCTCAATAACGTGTTCAATGCTGTCACGTTATCAAAAGTCCCATTAGTGACTTGTCAAATCAACAATAGCAGAAATGCATTTGACGTTCATATTAACGTAACTCGTACAGCGCCAATATTAAGACACATTCAATGCCATGTCTTGTTTATTTCCCACAAATCTGATGTCTGATCGATATAAAAGAGTGTGTTCAACACGTTAAATCAAAATGCATTTGACGTTCTCAATAACGTAACTCATACGGTGTCAATATTATGACGTATTTAACATCACGTTTTCCAACAAGTCTCATTTCCGATGAATGTGACGTCTCATTGTTACGCTTATTAAGACGCCGATATAAGTAGAGGCTGTTGGGTGTTCAACACATCAAATCAAAATGCATTTGCCGTTCTCAATACCGTAACGCTTACAGTGCCAATATTAGGACATACTCAATGACATGTCTTGATTATTACCGACAAACGTCTTATTATTATAAAATAATTGACATAAAAAGAGGCTTTTTTTGTTAGTTGGGCTTCCAATCAGTGACTCAAACATGTCAAATCAACACCAGCAGAAATTCATAAGACGTTCATAATAACGTAACTCATACAGTGCTAATATTATGACGTATGTATTGCCATGTCTAGTTTATTACTGATCAATGTGACGTCTCATTGTTACGCTAACAAAGATATTAATATAGAGGCTGATGAGTGTCGAAACAAAATGCATTTGACGTCTTCAATAATGTAATTCATGTGGTGCCGATATTATGACGTATTCAATGCCATGTCACGTTTTCCAACAGGTTTTGTTTATTACCGACGGATGTGACAAAATATTGACTTGAAGAGGCTTTTTCATTGGACAGGCATCGAATCAACACCAGCAGAAACATGTTTGATATTACTAACAATGTATACGGTGCCGATATTAAGGCATATAATCAAAGCATATCATGTTTATTTCCAACGAATGCCGTCTCATTGTTATGCTAATTATCGATATAAAACAGGTTTGACGTTCTCAATAACATAGCTAATGCAGTGCCAATATTTAGCCGTGTTTAACCCCGTGTCTTGTTCATTACCAACACATTTGACGTCTCATTGTTATGTTGAAAAAATTGACGTAAAGAGGATTTTTCGTTAGACGCGCGTCCAATCAGTGATCCAGACCAGCAGAAATGCATCTCGCAATTATAGTAACGTGACTCGCGATGTGCAACACTGTCACGCTCTCCAGCAGGTCTGGTTTGTTATTTCCGATGAATGTGACGTCTCGTTTGGGATATAAAAGAGGCTGACTGGTGTTCAGCGGATGAGGATTATGGGAAATAAGAGCACGGAGAATAAGGAGCCGCGTGATGATGATGATGATGATGATGATGATGAATTAGCAGCCACACCCCTCCCGCTGCGGCTGTGTTTCACTCGTCAGTCTTCCTCCCTGCGGCGCTGAGGGTTTGTGCTGGACGCCGGATTCTGCCGCGTTCAGATCCAGACTGCCGTCCTGAATGTTCTGGTAGATCTTCTTGGCTGCTTCCAGGAAAGCGTCCTCTACGTTCTCTCCGCTGCCATGACAAACAGACGGAGATCAGTGCACTCAGCAGTACACTAAAGCGGAGACACTAGGACAGGGGGGTCCACAGTCAGTCCTGGACACACGGGTTCCTGCATTCCCTCAACAAGCCTGCCTGGAAGCTTTAGCACACCTAGAATGAGCTTGATCAGCTGCTTCAGGTGGGTCTACTTGGGGTTGGAGCTAAAATATGCAGGACAGCGGCCCTCCAGGACTGAGTTTAGACGAATCCCAGTGTGATTACTGTAGTGCTGTTACTGATTTAACTCTTTCCCTGCCAGCGTTGCCAGGACTTCACCTCAATTTGCCAGCTCTCAGGATATTATCAGCTAGGACTGTGTTACACATCAAAATTAAGAACCAATTAATCCATCCCTTACACCTTAACCCACTCTTAAACCTACCCAGACCATCCAATCTGTTCCTAACCCGACCCGTATCCCACCTCTGAGCATATGAGTGTTCTGCAGGACATGATGAACACATTAAGCACACTGTATTTACATTTTAATGTTGGTGTTAAGGACACTTAATATACTATAGCAAGCCCCCGTGATGCTGTTTGCATGCTGTAACTGGGTCAGGTTCAGAACTCACGTTTTAGCGCTGGCCTCCAGGAACAGCAGACC